GAATTTTCAATGTCAAAGGCAACAGAGAGGAAAAGAAGGACGAGCAGGCAGAGAGAGCCCTGGTCACAGTGGAGAGAATGTCATTGGTGACTCAGACCAGGGAAGTCTTGGTACTGTGAGTATCATGGAAGCCATATTGAAGGGGTTTATCGAGGGAGTACAGGGAAAAGGAAAGAAAGGGGAAAGGAAAGCTGAGATACAATGACTCATTCCAATAGTTTGGAAAGGGAGGTTGGAGATGGGACGTTAGTTAGCGAACAGGGATGAGTCAAGGGAAGATTTTTTGATGAGAAGGGTGGTAACAGCAATTTTGAAAAATTGGGAACTGTGCTGGTGGACAAGTTGAGCATATGGACATAGTTGACCAATGTGTATTTGCTTGGGGACAATTAGATGGTGCTGGGAGGCAGAGATGAGGTGGGGAAGGGGTTGAAGGAGCATATGGTGGGCTTCATTTGAGACATGCCGGAAGAGAGGGATAAGGGAAAGACTGAGTTGAGGATGGGCAGAGGAGCAGGTGGCAGTTACTCAATCATATACAAAAGTGTTGATCCTGAAGAAGTCCATCATATCCCCACATTTGGAGTCGGAGGAGAAGATGGGCGGGGCATAAAGAAGTAGGGAAGGAATTGGTTTGTGGTGGAAAAGAGGATCCTGGGGATGTCCTTGGTGTCCAGGATGATCCTGGAGTAGAAGGACAATTTGGCTGAGGCGAGGGCAGAACCATAGTGTTACAGCCAAATTTGGCGGTGTTCGCTTGGATTTGAACCATCTCATCCAAAAATGGCATTTAATAAGAATAATAATAATAATCCTTGCATTTGATATAGCGCTTTTCACCTCGGGAGGACGTCCCAAAGCGCTTCACAGAACACACTGTAAAGTGAATTGACTGTATATTTGTGGGCAAACGCGGCAGCCAATTGCGCACAGCAATGTCCCACAAACAGTCACCCAGTATTGAACTAACAACAACAAGATTTCATTTACAGAGCGCCTTTCACATCAGGAGGACGTCCCAAGGCGCTGGACAGTTGGGTCAGGACCAGAGCAGGGGGGGGGAAATGGTCAGGGTGAGGGGAGGGAAGGGAGGGAGCGAGGAGGGGGCAGGGAGTCAAGAGGGGAGCTGAAGGCACAGTTGAAGAGAAAGGTCTTGAGACCGGCCTTGAAGGAGGAAAGGGAGGAGGCAAGCCGAAGGCACTGGGGATGGAGTTCCAGAGCCTAGGGGCTGAGAGGCTGAAGGCCCGGCCACCGATGGTAGGACGATTAGGGCGGGGGATGTGAAGTAGACCGGAGCCAGAGGAACGGAGGGTACGGGCAGGTAAGTAGGTCGGAGAGGTAGGAGGGAGCAAGGCCGTGAATGGCCTTGTAGGTGAGGATGAGGATCTTGAATTCGATCCTCTGGGGGATGGGGAGCCAGTGGAGGCGAGCGAGGGTGGAAGTGATGTGGTCCCGAAGCCTGGTGCGGGACAGTACACGAGCTGCAGAGTTCTGAATGACCTGCAGCTTGTGGAGGGAGGCGCCGGGAAGGCCGGCGAGGAGAGAGTTCCCATAGTCCAGCCTTGAGGTGATAGAGGCATGGACCAGAGTTTCAGCAGCGTGAGGGGTGAGGTAGTGCCGTAGTCTGGCGATGTTCCGGAGGTGGTGGAAGGCGGTGCCAGTTGTGGCGCAGATGTGGGGAAGAAAGGACAGCTCAGGGTCGAACAGAACCCCGAGGTTCCTGAGTGGCTTTGAGAGGTGGAGAGTGCAGCCTTGGATGCTGATGCTGTCAGCGCCTGAGGTGCGGAGGCGCTGACGCGAGCCAATCAGGAGGGCCTCAGTTTTGCGCACGTTAAGCTGAAGAAAGTTGTTTCTCGTCCAGGACTCGATGTCAGACAGGCAGCTGTCAGGACATCGGTGGTCGTGGAGTTGAGTAAACTGCCATCTTAGACTTTACACCTTATCAACTAACTGACTAAGCAAAACTAATATTCTGGGAGTGGATGCATCATGGCAAATTCTTGTTATTCTTAGTTTTTAGCAAATTCATATTTTTTTATTGAAACTGAGAGAAACCACAGGTCTATTAACCCAACAACACAATTATATTTGTTTAGCGCCTTTCACGTTGGAAGGACATCCCAACGCGCTGTACAGTCCGTGTTTCGGACCTGAGCTAGGGGTTGTGATTGGGGAGGGCAACTTTTGTTTCCTCGGGTATATTTTATAATGTATTTTATTGTAATTGTTAAAGAATCCTTGTTATTATCCTCTATGTTACTAGATCTTACTACGTTATTGTATTTAGTGCTGTTGCATGACAAATTCATGTGATTTTGGTGGTGAATTGCTGTGAAACATGCAGTATAGATGGCTGCTTTCATGAGGTGGTTTCTGGAGCAGTTTAACAAATCAAACTGCGTGCAAATCTGTAATGGTTCTATATATAACTACAACAACAAAATTACATTTGCATAGCATCTTTCACACCAGGAGGTGCTGGACAGTCAGTGTTTCAGACCCGACCTGGAGGATAGGGAGTGAAGGAGAATGATCAAAAGTACGGTCAAAGAGTAGGGTCTTGAAATGAGTCTTGAAGGAGGCAAGGAAGGGGGCAAGGCAGAGTGACTGTAGGACAGAGTTCAGAGAGTGGGGGCAGAGTGGCTGAAGGCGTGCCCGCCAAAGGTAGGGTGGACAAGGCGGGGAACGTGAAGCAGGCCAGAGCCTGCTGAGCGGAGGGAGCGGGACAGTTGGTAGAGAGTTAGGAGGTCACAGCGGTAGAGGGAGTGAGGCCATAGAGGGCTTTGAAGGTGAGGGCCAGGATCTTGAACCTCTGTGTGGTGGGAAGCAAGTGGAATCGGGCGAGAATGCGGGTCAAGGAGCCTGGTGCAGGAGAGGACAAGGGGGCTGTAGAGTTCTGGATGATCTGCAGCTTATGGAGGGAGGAGTTGGGGAGGCCGACAAGCAGGGAGTTTGTATAGTCAAGCCTGGATGTCACTGGTGGAGCCAGACGATGTTGCGGAGGTGGGGGAAGGCAGAGCAGGTCATGGCACTGATGTGGGGTAGAAAGGATAGTTGAGGGGTCAAACAAGACGTCAAGGTTCCGGACTGGCTCAGTGAGGGTATGCTGTCCAGCGCCTGAGGTGTGGACTGGCTCAGTGAGGGTATGCTGTCAGCTGAGCTCTCATTTAGAACTTGATGTCTGACAGACGTTCTGTCAGGACAGCAGTGGTCCTGGAGTCAAGGGTGGAGGCAGAGGTATACAGTTGGGTGTCATCTGTATACATGTGGAAGTTGACCCATGTCTGTGGATGATGTCACCAAGAGGAAGCATACAGATACTGAAGAGGAGGGGACCAAGAACAGAGCCCTGAGGACCACCGCACAAGACAGTGTGGGAGCTAGAGGAGAAACTGTTTGTGGAGATGAAGTGGAGACGGTATGAACGGTAGGATCAGAACCATTCAAGGACAGAACCATGAAGGTTGAGGTGAGAGGAGAGGCGGTGGAGGAGGATAGAGTGGTCGACAGTATCGAAGGCAGCAGAGAGGTCAAAGAGAATGAGGAGGCAGAGGGAGACCTGGTCGCAGATGGACAAAATGTCATTTGTTACTTTGACCAAAGCTGGTTCTGTGCTGTGTGCGTCACAGAAACCCGATTGGAGGTTCGTGAAGGGAGGGGCGGGAGTGGAAGAAGTGAAGCTGGGAATCAATGACTTGTTCCAGGACCTTGGAAAGGTAAGGGAGGTTGGAGATGAGGTGGTAATTTGAGAACAGGGATAGGTCAAGGGAGGGTTTTTTAAGGATAGAAGTGATGATGGCCATGTTTAAAGGGATGGCAATGGTGCCAGTGGACCGTGAAAAGTTTGTGATGTCTGTGAGTAGGGGGGTAAGGAGGTGGAGCTAGAAGTTAAGGGGAAGGGTAGGGATGGGGTCGAGGGAGCAGGTGGTCAGTTTCATGCGGGTTATAGTGGTGGTGAGAGAAGAATGGGAGACATGTTCGAAGGTGTGGAGGGAGGGATGGGTCGGGGCTGAGGTGTGAGGGGGAGATGGAGAGGGGCGAGTAGACGGAAGGGCAGAGGCAGCTGAGCGCATCCCCTCGTCTTGGCAAAACCCTGGCAGATCCAAATCCAATTGAAATTTATTTCACAGGAACTGGTATCAAGTTAACAAAAGTGCTTTTCCTTTAAATGCTTCAAAAATTTATAACAATGAACAATAAACATGCTAGCTTTTTTGATAAGCACAAATTTATTGTTAAAAAAANTTCAGAAATGCTTTTTACCCCATTTAATTTCTGCTAACAAAAAGCAAGCAAGCAGGACATTAGGGTCTTAAGATGGCAATCCAAAAGGCTCCATTTTCACATTTCTATTAACAAAACTATTTTCTACGTCTGATTTCATATAACCATATGAGTGACGGATCTAATTATTTAATAAATTCCTGCAATAATAAATTGGTCACTTCAATCCACGACTGTTTGTGGGACACTGCTGTGCGCAATTGGCTGCCGAGTTTTGCCCACAAATATACAGTCAATTCCCTTTACAGTGTGTTCTGTGAAGCGCTTTGGGACGTCCTCCCGACGTGAAAAGCACTATATCAAATGCAAGGATTATTATTATTATTATTATATACAGTCAATTCACTTTACAGTATAGTGAAGCGCTTTTGAGACGTCTAGAAGACGTGAAAAGCGCTATATCAAATGAAAGGATTATTATTATATTGCAGGTGTCATCTAAACAGCGTTTCAGTCAGTGAAGAAAAGAAGAAGCAAATGCATAGTAGCAAAGGAACTCATGAGTTCATCTAATTCAAGTGCAATTAGCAACCAAGACTGACACTGCATCGAAATAACTTCCATTTCAGATAAGTGATTTTATAGGACTGCTATTCTATTTCATTTTTATTTCCGCGGTAAGCCAATAGGTTATGTTATAAAACAGCCATTCAGATTTTAAATCTATTCAGCACTAATAGTTTATTTTCAGGTCATTACTCAAATCATGAACTTACATTAATGAGTTCAATTTCCCACAGCTTCTTCACAAGATCCATTGATGTATAACCATTTGCCAGAAAGGTCTTGATGTAATCATTCAGCTCTAAGGAGTCCAACCAGTCTGCCACAGACGTTGGACTATTCCCATCATATCCAATGACTTTAACCTGAAATAAAGAAAATATATCTGTAAAAAATGCAAAGAATTATGTATTTGTTACTTTTCAAAAATAATACTCTGCTCTGAAAATGAGCTGTCATCTTTAATATGTCAGAGCATTGGAAAAGGGCACCATGTTAAGTTTCTAGGTGTCAGGTGGATGGAGGCAAGATACCAATAATAATAATAATCCTTGCATTTGATATAGCGCTTTTCACGTCGGGAGGACGTCCCAAAGCGCTTCACAGACCACACTGTAAAGTGAATTGACTGTACATTTGTGGGCGAACCCGGCAGCCAATTGTGCACAGCAATGTCCCACAAACAGTCGTAGATTGAAAATGACCAATTTAATTATTGTTTTTGGTTTTTGAAGGGATTATTATTAGGCTCTGTGTGGAGTAAGGAAACTTGCCCAAGGTTTCGCCCTCTGCCTGGAATTGAACTCAGGTCTCTCGCTTGCAAAGCGAGTGCTCTAACCACTGAGTTACAGGACTCCACGATGAACTAACCCTGTCGGATAATAAAGCTTGTCTTGTTTCATCTAAAATCAGCTGCTGTACGTGGCACAAGAATGAACTTTGCAGTTCTCTATATTAATTCAAAGGGCAGCTTGCGAGCCAGGAGCTTGTGGGTTCAAATCTGAGCTGTTAGCTTTCCTCTTAGCCCCAGCTGAGACCAGCAAAGTTCGCCATGGACTTTCCAGAGTTACGAAAAGGATAATTGGTCAAAGGTATTGCACCTGGACTGTCTCCTATATCCTCGATTGGCTGTGTATAGGTGTGACAACCAGGGGGAGAGGTTAGGTTTACGTGTGATGCAATAATACAGTGGCCAGCCAACACTCATTTCAAGGCTTCACACAAGAACAATGGTCACTTGAGTGTGGCACTGAAAGGCAACCAGCACATAAGGAACTCAGTGAGAGTTGGCCAACCAGGCAGAGAGAAGTAAATGGAAACCTGTAGCTTAGAGCACTCGCCTCGCAAGTGAGAGGACCTGGGTTCAATTCCCGGCAGGGTGAAACGTTGAGCAAGTTTCCTTACTCCATATGCCTCTGTTCACCGAGAGGTAAGTAGGAACCCGGTTGTTAGTGAATTGGCGGATTGCTTTTCCAGGCGTGACAAGTTATATATGAGCTTAAGCTACATGACTCACTCTATTTGGTACAATTTAATCACATTATCTTCAGATTCCTTTTATATGAGCTTGTCACCTCACTACAAACAAATCCATTCGAAGGACTATTAGATCGGCATCATCAATTCAATGTTAGTGATAATGCGTGAATTAAACTCTTGCAGCATCTGAAATCACTGTTGTGAGGAAATGCTTTGAGTAAGCAAACAGTATTAGGCATGCATGCAGGACAGTTGAAATGACTGGAGCCTCCAGAAAAGATAATAATACATCACAAATATATTTAGATGTCAGAGATCCTAGAATCATACAGCACAGAAGGAGGCCATTCGGCCCATCATGTATGTGCTTGCTCTTTGAAAAGAGCTATCCAATTCAATAAAAGTTATCGAGTCGGCTTCCAATATCTTTTCAGGCAATGCATTCCAGATCTGAAATTTCTCCTCACCTCCCCTCTGTTTCTTTTAACAACTATTTTAAATTGGTGTCCTCGGCTCATAACTCTTTTCATAACTGAAGTCCCTCATTCCTGGTGCCATCCTGGAAAATCTCCTTTGCAACTTCTCCAATGCCTTGACATCCTTCCTAAAGTGTGGTACTCAGAACTGAACACAGTTAAGCTGAGCTGAGGTTTAACCAGTGTTTTATAAACATTCATCATAATTTCCTGACTTTTGTATTCTATGCCCCTATTTATAAAGCCGAGTATCCTGTATGATTTTTTTAACAGCTTTATCTACATGTCCTGCCACCTTCAAAGATTTACTTATATAACACCCCAGATCTCTCTGTTCCTTCAACCTTTAAGATTGTAGCATCAGCTTATATCGCCTCTCCTCATTCTTCCTCCCAAAATGCATCACTTCGCATTCCTCCCCAATAAACTTTATCTGCCACGTGTCTGCCCAAAGAGGATTGAAAGATTGTGACCAGAGCATCTGTTGTTTCCACCATTACTTCATAACATAGTAACATAGAATGCATCCTATCCGGACCAGGTGACTTATTTACCTTGAGCACCGACAACCTTTTAAGTACCTCCTCCCAATTTATTCTTATCCAATTTCTCTACTTTCTCCTCCAATACTGTGGCATTGGCTGCATCCTCTTCTTTTGTGAAGACAGATGCAAAGTACTCATTCAGTACATCAGCCTCTGCCTCCACAAGAAGATTTCCTCTTTGATCCTTAATTGGACCCACCCTACCGGTTATTCTTTATATGCTTATAAAATATCTTAGGGTTCCCTTTTATGTTATCCGATAATCTCTTCTCATACAGTCTCTTTGTCCTCCTTATTTCCTTCTTCAATTCTCCTGTATACTTTCTATATTTTATTTGATTATCTTCTGTATTTTGGACCTGACATTTTCTGTTTTATTTTAATTTCCTTATTCATCCAGGGAGGTGTGGATGCCCTACCTTTCCCCTTTGTGGGAATGTATTTGTTCATTCCCCGAACTATCTCCTCCTTGAAGGCTTCCCATTGCTCATTAGCTGTTTACCTACCAATCTTTCTTTCCAGTTCACCTTGGCTGGGTCCTTTTTTAACTCACTGAAGCTAGCCCTCTTCCCGTTGAGTATCTTCACATTTGATTGCTCCTTGTCCCTTTCCATAAGTACTCTAAACCTAATGATGTTGTGATCACCCTTGTCCAAATGTTCTACTGAAACTTGCTCCACTCGCCCCACTTGATTCCCCAGAACTAGATCCAGCACTGCTTCCTTCCTCATTGGGCTGGAAACATGCCGATACAGAAAGTTATTCTGCTCACATTTCAGAAATCCTTCCCCCTCCTTGCCCTTTACATTGTTATTTTGCCAGTCTATGTTAGAATAATTGAAGTCTTCCATTATCACTACTCTATTGGTTTTCCATCTTTCTGAAATCTGCTTGCCGATTTGCTCGTCTATCTCCTTCTCATTATTTGGTGGTCTATAGTAGACACCTGACAAAGTAACCACTCCTTTTCTGCTCCTTAACTCTAACCAAATAGATTCTGTTTTGGGGCCCTCTAACACATCACCTCTTTCCAGGGGCGTAGCCATATCTTTAATCAATATTACCATCCTCCTTTTTTTCCATCCCTATCCCTCCTGAATACATTGTAGCCAGCAATATTCAGCTCCCATTCCTGCCTTTGTTCATCACCACTATATCATAACCCCATGTGTCAACTTGAGGCTGCAGCTCACCAATCTTATTTGTCACATTCTGTGCATTTACACACATGTACTCCAAGACTGACTGAGTCTGTTCTAATCTAATCTAATCCCATCTAATCCCTCCTTTTTCTGGATTACTTCTTATTACATTGCTATTCGACTCTCCCAGCCCTCCATGTAACTTGTTTCTCCTCTATAACGCTACAACCTGATTCCCTTCACCCCCTCAAAATTATTTTAAACCCTTCCGATAGCACTAGTTAACCTCCCTGCGAGGATATTGGTCTCAGACCTGTTCAGGTGTAACCCATCCACCTTGTACAGGTCCCACCTGCCCCAGAACTGGTCTCAATGATCCTGGAACCTGAATCCCTCCTTTCTGCACCATTTCTCCAGTCATACATTCACGTGTTTGATCCTGCTGTTTTGATACTCACTTGCACGATGTACTGGGAGTAATCCGGAGATCACCAGCTTTGAGGTCCTACTCTTTAACTTTTTCCCTAGCTTCTGATACTCTCCCAGTACGATCTCAGTCCTTTTTTTCCCTACTTCATGGATCCCAATATGGACCATGACTTCTGGATATTTCCCTTCCCCCTGTAGAATGTTTTGCACCTGTTTCATGATGTCTTCAACCCTGGCACCAGGGAGGTAATATACCATGTGAGAGTCACGGTTTTGGTTCAGAAACGTCTGTCTACTCCTTTCATGATTGTGTCCCCAATGATGATTGCATTGACACTCTTCCCTGTGTACCCCTGTGCATCCATTTACTTTTGACTCCCCTCCCCAGAGGTGCCATCACCCTGACCGGTATTCAGTACAGATGAAAATGAAACAGTGAATGCAGGGAATCTTCCCCCTCCCCACCGCCCAAAATATGATTCTGGAAATCAACAGCAGGCAAATCAGCATCTAGAAAAGAAAGAGTTGAATATTTTGGATTCTGATGAAGGGTAATGCCCAAAATAATTATCTTTTTTCATTTATGGATGCTGTTGTAGATTTCCAGCATTACCTTTTTAATTATGAAATTAGATCCAATTTCTAACAATAAATTGAACCATATTAAAATTGCCTCACCACCAAAGAAAAACTCCACTGGGTGACTGAACACAGACATGGTTTTACAAACTATGTTCCAGAGTTGGCACATGGACAGGATTGACAGTGGACAGTGCCCAGTTGACAGTGGACTGAGCAACATTTGTACTTGTGTGTTTGCATTTTTCTAAAACATATTTTGGATTGTTATATTTTATAGTCCAGCACAAACTAGTTGGGTCCAGTATGGACCAGTTGGGCCAAATGACATGTTTCTGTCATGTAACATTCTATGTAATTCTATAATAATTATTGCATTTGATACACCACTTTATTACACAGAAATGTTTCAAGGTGCTTCAGAGTTTTCTAATAAAGTAAAAAATTGTGTATTTGTTGGCAAATGTGCAGCAAATTTATGCACAGAAATGTCCCACAATAGTCAGGAAGGGAATGATCAATTATCTGAAGAAAGGTTGGACTCAAACACAAGGAAAAACTCCCTTCTCTTTTCATATAGTGACAGAGGTTTTGTATCATGTCAAACATCCCCTGAACAGGCAAACAAGATCTCATCTGAAGGACAGCACCTCCAAATGGGACTCATCTGAAGCAGCTGGGGGGTCAATCTACACTATAAGCTCAAAGTCTTAAATAAGGGACTTGAAACTGCAACCTTCTGACCCAGAGATTTGGTGTGCTGCCAACTGAGCCAAGTAATTGTTCCTTATAGATGCTTTGGAAAAGTAACAGGTGCATGCTATTTTAAAAACATTGTTCAAACCTGATGAGATATTTGTAAAGTGAACTGGACACTGCAGCAGGTATTCTCTTTTCAGCTGTATAACTCAACTTACCCGAGGAAGTCCACGAACTGCCTGTAGAATTCTTTGCCTGTGTGATGAATTGAGGATGCCTATCTCCAGCAAATCCTGGTCTTCTACTACATTGCTTCCCTAGTTGAAAGGGGGAAAGTAAGAGATAAAAATTATGTCATCTCCAGTCTGATTGTCATTGTAATTTTAGTAAAAACACCTTCAGTGTATGCAAAGGAGTTCAATTCTATAATAAAGAGCAGAACACCAGCTATCAAATATCCATGCTGTGCTATGAAATATTTGTTCATTTGCTGAAAGTTCTCTGAAGTTGATTTGCTGATATAGCAATAGTGCAAAGTACAAGAATAAAATGTATTGGAAACAAAATAAAATGTGGAAGCTTATTGATTTGTGCACAGAAAGGAAATCACCTTCTCTCACCCTTGAACAAGCAGCTCTTCAAGGTTTAGAACTATTGTCGATAGTACAGCAGCACATCTCAATTGTGCTGGCCCAGCGGTTGTTTTGTTCGGTTAATATACATTTGTTTTTATTAAAGTGCAACCTTTTCCCCAGGAGCGAGTCTCAAAAACAACAATAACAAATTATATTTGTATAGCGCCTTTCACAGCAGAAGGACGTCCCAAGGTGCTGGACAGTCTTGGGATCCCGCCACACCCGAACTGGTGATTGGGATCAGGAGGGGTGGAGGGCGGGGAGGGTTAGGAGGGTGACCGAAGCCATGGTCGAAGAGGAGTGTCTTGAGATTCGTCTTGAAGGAAGTGAGGGATGGGGTGAGGCGGAAGCACTGTGGGATGGAGTTCCAGAGGGTGGGGAAAGAGAGACTGAAAGCCACCAGCCAATAGTGGGGCGGGCAAGGCGGGGATGTCAAGCAGGCTATTTTTCATCCACACTTTGATTACTTATCTTAATGAACATTGAAAATATTTTGCAGAAAATTCTTCATCTTTATTTCAACCTCATTGGAGGAGGAGGTGGAGTGTGTACATGGGATTTCTCATGGGCTGAGCTGGCTCTACAGTTACACACCTGATTCAAGGTGTTGTTCAGCTCTCGGTGAATTCTCAATTGTGCAGAATCTGTAGTTCTGTGGATTTCTTGTTAAGACAACATTATGTAGACCAAGTCAAACAACACATTAAAAATGGTTTAGTTTATGTACATTTAACATGGTTTAGTTTATGTACACTTCATTTTACACCTTTCGTGTTGCACAAATGCTTTTTGTTAGATTTCTTTTGGAAACAATGATCAGTTTAATTTTTCTAAATCTGTTTTGTAATCCTCTTAATTTAAAACAGGTGATGGAAATAAGTATACAAACACAGATGAAAGCACATTCCACACGGTGTGCTGAAAATGACCTGTTGGAATGTACAATGAAAATATTTTGCAGCAAAATTCTTCAGACTAATAGGCACCTGGAATAATGGTTTAATGTTCATTTATTTTCATCCATAGTACAAAGAGATTTCAAAATGCCAGCCTTACATGAGATGATCAGCTAGTGTTTCATTAAGAATGTATACAGACAAAAGCTGCATCTATTCAAATGCATTAGATTTGAACTATTTTCATGGAATTCCCTCCACAGGCTGCAGATTATTCAGAATGTTGCACCGCATGTCCTCTCCTGACCAGGCTCCGTGAGCTGATCACCCCATCCTCACCTGACTTCACTGGCTCCCCAACCCCCAGAGGATTGAGTTTGAGATCCTCGTCCTCACTTTCAAAGCTCCTCCCCTTCCTCTGTGACCAACTAACACCTTACCAAAGCACTCTGAGACGCTGCCCTGCGTGGAGGAAGCTATACAAGTGCATGTTGTTGTACCAACCTCTGCTGGACGGACACTGGCCTGCTCCATGTCCACCATTGGTGGTCAGGCCTTCAGCCTGTCTGCCCCCACTCTCTGGAATTCCATCCTGGAATCCCTTCGCCTTGCCCCCTCCTTCAAATGCAATCTCACGTCCTTGCTCTTTGACCATACTTAAAGTCATCCTCCCATTTCCAACCCTGTTGGCCCCTACCCCTCTTGATTCCAACCCCCAGGTGCAAACTCTTCACTGGGACATCTTGGGACATCATCCCAACATGGAAGGTGCTACATAATACAAATTGTTGTTGGTCAGATCTGCTTGGAAACTCGATCACATGAAAATAGGGGTTGCATATTTTGTTCAAGAGCTTATTTTTAATGAATATAATAATAAAAAAAGCAAAATACTGCAGATGCTGAAACAAAAACAGAAATCGCTGGGAACACTCAGCAGGTCAGGCAGCATCTATAGAGAAAGGAAAGGAAACGAGATAACGTTTCGGGTCCACAAGCCTACGTCAGAACAGGGGCATGTTGGGAGGGAGAGGCTAACAGAGAGGGAGGAGGTAGAGCAATGAAGACAAAGGAGAAAATGGGGTAAAGGACAGGGGATGATAGTATTGTTGATGCAAATCAAAGGGGTGGGGGATTGCAACAAAACAAGGGAATAGAGGTGTTAATAATGCAAAACAAAGAGGGGGTGGAATTGCACAACAAAAAAGGCAGTCCAGAGAGACAAAAGGTGTGCCTGGGTCCCAGATGATGTGGTAATGATCACAGATTTTACATTTTTTTAAAAAAAACAACAACAATGTCCTGGCCCCTGGCACTGCCATCCCAGCCATGATCTGGGAGGCTAAGCCTGAGGGCTGATGCCGTCCCGCTGATCGTTCGCTGATCAGTGTCTGCATGCGCGTTTTGGCTGCCGCCCTGACCCGAGCCTTCCCCTCCACTCTAAATGTCTCTCCTCCTGCCCCCCTCTATGTCCCTCCTCCCACCCCCTTCTATCTGCTACTCCCCCTCTGTCCTTCTCTCCCACCGCCCTCCCCGCCTTCTCTCTCTCCTCGACCCCATCACCACTTCCCTCTGCTCCAGCCTGGGCATCCTCCGCCGGGCCCTCGTGGCTCCCGGCATTGGATGTTCCAGAGCAGCAACCCCAAGTGCTCAATCATTCACTTCCTCCACTCAAACCGCCTCCTTAAGGCAAACCCAACTCCCCCTTCCCTCATACGTACCCTCCCCAACTCTCCACTCACATCACTCTCCACAACCATCTCTCCTGTACAACCCAAAATCCTCTCCGTACCATTCTCTCCTCCCTCCCCCCACGTCCAGCAAGCCCACCCGCATTTCCCTCCAAAATGTCCGTTCCCTCTCAAATAAAGCCCTCACCATCCAAGACCTCATCCTGGACGAGCACCTTGACATTCTTGGGCTCACTGAAACCTGGTTCTCCCCCCCAATGACCCCGTACCCCTAGTGGAAGCCTCCCCTCCAGGTTACACCTTCCACCACACACACCCGTCCAAACCAACGTGGTGGTGGGGTGGTCTTCATTTCCAAAGCCTCCCTTGGTCTCAACCCCTACTCCTCTGGCTGCTTCCCCTCCTTCGAGCACCTCACCCTCTTCCACATCTCTCTCCCTTTGAAAATCCTCCTTTGTTTACTGCCGCCCTAAGCTCCCCGGCTCCTTCCACACAGACATCTCTACTTTCCTCTCTTCCCTGTCCCTCTGCTCCGAATGCCAGCTCATAATGGGGGATTTCAACCTCCACCTAGACTCTCCCTGCACCACTTTTGCCGATTTCACTGCCTCTCCTCCCTAAACCTCACCCTCCATATAAACTCACCTACCCACAACCTGGTCATGCACTTGACCTCATCATCACCCACCACCTTGACATTTCTGACCTCAGCATAGTGGACAAGGCCATCTCAGACCACTTTTTCATCTCCTTCTCCTCTCACATCCCTCTCTCCTCCACCAAGCCCTCAACCATCCTCAACTGCCTTTGGAAAAGGCTACGCCCTGAGACCCTCACAAAGGCCCTCTGCCCTTCCTCGCAAAAGTTCTAGAACACGTTGTTGCCAACCAACTTCGCGCACACCTCTCTTCCCACTCCCTCTTCGAACCCCTCCAGTCTGGTTTCCGGTTTTTCTTCCACCTCCGACGCATCGCCCGTCTCCGCCAATACCTCTCCCCGAAAGCCACTGAAACCCTGGCCATGCTTTTGTCACCTGTGGATGGACTACTCTAACGCCCTCCTCCTCCCATCCACTACCATCCATAAAATCCAAATCATTCAGAACTCTACCGCCCGCATTCTCACCCGCACAAAACCCCGCTCCCCGATCACCCCAGTCCTTGCCTTCGTTTCTCCGGGTCTGGCCCCCTCCTTGTCCCCCGAGTCCTCCGCTCCACCCTCGGCGGCAATGCCTTCAGCCACTATGCCTCGAGGCTCTGGAACTGCCTTCCTCACTCCCTTCGTCTCGCTCCCTCCCTTCCTATTTTCAGGTCTCTGCTGAAGACCTTTCTTTTCGACCGCGCCTTTGGTCACCTTCCCCCCCATTCCCCTGGCTCGGTCCCGGGATCTATTACTGTAAAGCGCTCTGAGACGCCATTCGGGGTGGAGGGCGCTATATAAATCCAAGTTGTTGCTGTTGTTGAGGGGGAAGGTGAGCTGTTGTGCTCTGAAATTGTTGAAGTTAATATTGAGGGCAGAGGGCTGTAAGGTCCCTAGCAGATAAATGAGGTGCTGTTCCTCGAGCTTGCGCTGTAGCTCATTGGAACAGGGTTGGAGACTGTGGATGGAAAGGTCAGAGTGCGAGTGGGAGGGAGAGTTGAAGTGGCAAGAAACGGGAAGCTCAGGGTTGTGCTTGCTGAGAGGATGGAGGTGTCCGGCAAATCGGTCACCCAATCTGCGTTTCATCTCCCAGTGTAGAGCAAACGATTATACACTCGTTTGTTCACAATTATAATTATATTATTATAATAATAATCCTTGCATTTGATATAGCGCCTTATCACGTCTTCGAGACGTCTCAAAGCGCTTCACAGAATATATTGTAAGTGTAGTGACTATATATTTTGGGTGAAACGTGGCAGGCAATTGCACACACCAGTGTCCCACAAGCAGTCGTGGATTGAAGTGACCAATTTATTATTATTTCTTTCTTAAAGGAATTATTACCCCCAGAAAAGCAATCCCCCAATCATCTAAAGTTCCTACTTCCTGCTACTACTTAGGAGGATCCTACTTATATATGGTTTTCTTAAACACCCAAATGTAAGAGGTCCGA